ATTAAAACAAATAACTAGGTAGTCCATGTATGAAAGGAACTCTCCAGCCTAAGTAATAAAGTAGCCAATCAATAAAAAGACTAACATTTAAAGTATTTAACAACAAAATGCCCCGGTTTTCAAAAATGAAATTCTGATAATCAGATTCTTTCTTTTTTTCCAACACAAGAAGGTCAATTTTAAACTTCTAGATAGCCAAATAAGCTCTTGTCATATAAAGGTTTCAAGGTTAGTAAAGATGTAATCATTTATTCTGATACCATAGTAACTGTTTTAAACAAATCAAAGCGAAAATTACCCAACACACTAATAACTGTTATTATTATATCCCTTACTCTTCTTAACTCACTCATCTTTTTTTTTTAACTAGTTATTTTCAGTGTGTGTTTCTACTCATCTGCCTTCATCTGATTCACTGTCCACTTACTTCTCGTAGTCTCTCTGTATGTGTCTAGTCTTCTCTGAATATGAACCAAGATATCTTTGTACTTTCTGTTTCTAAGGTCCCCCTTTTACTATCTCTGTTGTCTTCCTTCCCCTTCCTTCTTTAGCCATATGCTATAACCTGAATGCCTGTGCTCCCCCAAAATTTATATGTTGAAATCCTAACCCCCAAAGTGCAGTATTAGAAGGTGGGACCTTCAAAGATGATTAGGTCATGAGGGTGTCCTCATGAATGAAATTAGCACCCTTATAAAAGAAGTTCCAGAGAACTCCTTTGCCCCCTTTGTCACATGAGGATACCACAAAAAGGTGCCGTCTAGGAGCCAGAAAGCAGGCCCTCCCCACACACAGAATCTGCCTTGACCCTGAACTTCCCAGCCTCCAGAACTGCAAGAAATAAACGTATGTTGTTTATAGAGTGCCCAGTTTATGGCATTTTGTTAGAGCAGCCAAGTGGACTAAGACGCCACAGTATTTAACTTATTTAACATGATTATGGAATCCAAGGTTTTCATCTCTGCTTGACCATTTGCAGACAGTAAGACGGTTTCTATTTCTGACTTTAAAAAATAATATTGTTTCTTGAGTTAGTGTGGTGTGATCCTTGAATTGATTTACTGAATAAGTCAGTGTCATGATAAGGTGCTGCTTACTTACCACAGAATAACACTTTTTACTAAGGGTTTTGAAACAAAAAGCCAGTTCTTGGGCAGGAAAAAATTAACCTATGGAGTCACTAACTTAAATTACTAAAAAATGGCATTAGAATCCTGGGACTTATGCCACTTATAGACTCTTATTTTTAAAATTCAGATTTCTGCCGGGCACAGTGGCACACACCTGTAATGCCAGCTACTAGAGAGGCTGGAAGGGAAGATTGTTTGAGCCCAGGAGTTTGATACCAGCCTGGGAAACACAACAAGAACCTATCTGAAAAAAAAAAATTCAAATTTCTTTAAATAATTTTCTATTAAATGGATACAAGGTCTAATTTGATAACAGCTTATAAAAATGTTGTGAATTTAGTGAGTGCTTAAATTATGACTTGGCTTTGATATTTCCATAGTTTTACCACTAATTCACCGACTCCTTACTATTATAAGATACAACTGAAAGCATTTTACAAATATATGTACCCAAAGAAGGTCTAGAGACAGCAAAAAATGAAGCAGAGACAATTAATCCATTCAAATCAGATGGCCAAGAGGATAGCAAGTATCAGAAACTAGAACTCTTGGTTCATAGAACATCACCATTTAACCTCTGTACTTCCACAATCATAAATCTGTGCTTTACAATTTTTTTGTTTCATTCTTTACAATACCAACTTACTTCTCTATAAATATAAGTACAGCAAATCATTTCCTTTTAATTGAACATTTAAATAGCTTTCTTCTTTTAAGATCTACTAAACTATGTTCTGCATTGAAAAAATTTAAAATAGGTTTCTAGACATAAAGAGAAAATCAATTTGTCTGGGCACAGTGGCTCATGCCTGTAATCCCAGCACTTTGGATGGCTGAGCGGGTGGATCACCTGAGGCCAGGAGTTCGAGAGCAGCCTGACCAACATGGAGAAACCCCGTTACAAAATTAGGCCGGGTGCAGTGGCTCACACCTCTAATCCCAGCACTTTGGGAGGCCGAGGCTAGCGGATCAAGAGGTCAAGAGATCGAGACCATCCTGGTCAACATGGTGAAACCCTGTCTCTACTAAAAATACAAAAATTAGCTGGGCATGGTGGCGCGCGCCTGTAGTCCCAGCTACTCACAAGGCTGAGGCAGAAGAATCATTTGAACCTGGGAGGCGGAGGCTGCGGTAAGCCCAGATGGCGCCATTGTACTCCAGCATGGGCAACAAGAGCGAAACTCTAACTCAAAAA